CCCAGACAGATTGAATAGTACCTACTGGAGATTCTGCCTTCCGCCATGCTCCCTAGCACCAGGTTCCCTTTTGAAAGCTTGTAAGCCAGTTACTCTTGCCTTTGTAGTCCGCCCATCCCAATTTGAGTATCCAATGTCCAAGCTGCCCTTCTCCGTCCACTCTGTGTGTGGGGGTGTGTGTGAATGTTTCTTGCTGTGAGGATTTGTTCCCTCTTTTGAGTCGCTGCTCCATAGGTATAGGTCAAGTTCATCAGACTGTATCAGCTCACTCTTTTTTTTTTTTCTTTCTTTCTTTTTCCCCTCTTCTTTCCTCTCCTGGTTGAGCTCCAATCATCCAGTCATCCAGTCCAGGTCTCGTGGGTATCATCTTCAGGTGTGGGCGCTCCTGTGCATATGTCCTCTCTTCCCGTCAGCCAGTAGCTCCACTCTACTCTTCGAATCCTCCGTGGCCACGCCACTGACTCTGGGCCCAAGAGACCCCAGGTCTCCTCACACTGCTTGCCAACCAGGTTCCCAACTGGGTCCACAGAAATCCACTGAACATTGTAGGGCTTAGCTTGCCACTTCCTTGCTGCTTTTACCCCACTTCTCCCCATCGGTGATGTGTGTGGTCACCAATCAGAGCGTGCATTTCCGTTGAGTCTTAGTCTTGGAAGGGGGTTTGCATTCTTTCACTGCTTTTTAAGTTACAAATATAGTGCAAAGGATACGGGTTCACCCTGTTTGAGTTGATCATGGTCTTTAATGCAAAGCATCCATTTCAGTGGCTCCTCCCATCTTCTCTATTGATTGACATTAGCATTTCTGGTCCCTACTTCTCTCAGGTCCCAAACACTTTTTCAGTTGTTATCAGAACTATTAAGGGCAACTCAACAACAAATTTCCTAAATGACTCTGAGACCTCATTTGGATTTTTAATAAACAGTCACATTCTAATGAGGTCTTCATAAAACTGACTAAATGTATTTAGAAATCATTAGCTTAAATTACCAGTGCAAAAATCTCCTTTGGGAGTCCTGCAGATTTCGTTATAACACTGTTGGCAGATGGATGAATGTAACAACACCACAGAGTTTTTGAATCTCTGCACAAACTACGTGAGTGTGAAAGCCTGGGAAACAGGTTCCTGGATAAAAAGTAAAATGTCCCTTAGGTGGATTCATTAAAGAGGGAAAACAATCCCAACACATCCCAGTGCCATTTAAATGCCAGGTGTGTGGCAGCCTGCAGGTGCCAGGGTCCCCTCCCAGAGCACACAGACTGAAAGGGACTGGCTGGTGTGACAAGGCAGTTTTGGATACTGACAGGTCATCACAGATGTACTGGGGTCCCCGCTGGAGGGGAAGCACAGAGTCTGTGTCTTCTATACCAGGTGCTGTGACAGGGAAGGCCTCCCAGAGGCTCCACCACCAACAATTAAAGATACGTAATGCAAAGTGCTCCAGGGCAAAACCAAGGGGGAGCAAACAGCTTCTCCTGGTCTTAATGACTCCACAGCCAGTCAGTGTAAACAAGCATTGCCCACTCATGCCTTATTCATATTGGACCCACAGTGCGCAGCAACATGGGAAGTGGGTGGCTACTGCCCTCACAACCCAAAGTCATTTTGATTTTCTAGTGGTTTGTTGTTATTTCTAAACATGAAAATGGGGCAGTCATCTTCAAATACATGAACAGGATAAGCCTGGGACAAGGTCAACACCTTTCCCAGAGGGTATGTGACCCCTTGCCAACACCCCTAAATCACCTCAGTCATTTCAGGGCAAGATGCCACTAAATCTATTATTAGTTGAAGACAGGCCCAAGGGGCTGATGGTAACGACGTGGGTCCTCAGAGCTTGCCCACATTGGAAGAGCTTTTTATTTTCGACTTAAAATTTTAAAAGAAGCTTAATGTTGTTAAGTGCCTTCAAGTTGGCTCCAACTCATAGGGACCCTGCATAGGGTTTCCAACAAGTGGCTGGTGAATTTGAACTGCTGACCTTGTGGTTCAAACTGACCTTTCCCACAGTGCCACACCAGGCACTTCTGGGCCTAAAACTATGGAGGAATTTTTAAGCCTATGGACCTATATTTATAGGTACACTGAAATCTAGTGCTCCTTCTCTGCTTTCAGCATCATTAGCTAGATTTGCATGGTTATTTATCACAAGTAAGACTTGAGGTGTAAAAATAATCAGGAACTGTCCCTATTGGGACAGTTCCTGATGAAAAAAACAGTGATGATGGCCTTTTTGGGTTTTGTTTTTTTTCAAAGCTGAGTTAACTCTTCACACAATGTGGCTCCCTGTGAAATATGCCCCGTGCAAGAGAATGCCTGTTCAGTCATTCAGTTCAGCTAATGACTTTTTGTTATTACAGTAATTTTACAGCAGTATCTTCTTGTCACTGTAAGTCAGACTGTGCTGCTCTGACGATGGACGGTCAACCATATTGGACTTTAATTTTCTTTACAATGAGGAGCAACCCTTACTGACTTTCATCTTCATCAGTAAGGACTTCAAGTCCTCTTTGCTACCTGCAAGCAAGGATGTGTCCTCTGCAAAATACAGGTTGCTAATGACTCTTCCTTTAATCCTGATGCCATGTTCTTCTTCATACAATCTAGCTTCTCAGGTCATTTGCTCAGCATACAGATTGAATAAGTATGGTAAAAGGATATAATCTTGACAAACAACTTTCCTGAATGGCTGGTTGTTTCAAACTGCTGACCTTAAGGTCAGCAGCCCAACTTTCACATATACATGTTAATATATATAATATATTAAAATATATACTTAGACTTTCTCTAGAATGTCAAAGTGTTTGTGGAGGGAAGTTTTCCAGTTTACTTAGTTAGTCATTTTGCCAAAAAACAGAAGCATCTTCAATTTTGTAATATCCCATTCCTTTTTGACTTATGTCTCTGGATATTTTCCTAGAACCTTAAGAAAAAATAGCTTTGCAGTTTGTGTCCCAATCTTTCAATTCTGGTCTAACCTCTAGGCTTGCTTTACTGGGAGTACATTACTCAATGTTAACTTCTCTAAGAAGCAGTGGGTTTTGCTCTTGAGTTGTGCATAAGCATGAAACCTGACCTACTATAAAAGAAAACAATAGCACCTTGTGCATTTTCTTTGTTTTGAATTTCATTTGGAGACTAATTCCATAGCATGCCACCACTGAAATTAGAATCTTAGAGTTTTCTGGTTAAATAGTAAACAATACTTATAAATAGTTAATACAGATTAAGTAATCTAAGACCTTGGGAATCTGAGGCACAGGAAAGTCAAAACTGAACAGGAGAAGATTCTGGAATTCTAATCTAATGATAGGACACAGTGATGCATACTGCTTTTAGAGTCAATTTTCTTGAGTTAAGGAATATAGTCATATCCAAGGGAGCACCCAATAAGTTTTGACACTCTACAAGCTTAGAGGTGTTTTGTGTGCTCAATATAGCCAGATAACAACTGCTTTTAAATCTTGAGTGCCTTTCCTGTCTGTTGCTATCGCAACAAATGAAAGCAATTCATGGTGTGTTTACTGATAATTTATAAGCAAGTGCAAGAGGAGGAACTGTAGTAGTTAATGTTTTATGGAGTACATATAATACTTCGAAAACTTGCCTCATGCCTTACTTTATATTACAAACTAAGCAATGAAGAAAATGGTAATTTACAGTATAAATCTGACTTACCCTTCCAACTTCCACAAGGTTGGTCACCATAATTATGCTTGCAGTATTTTCATGCCAGACCATTCTCCAGAAATCATAGATGGTCTCTTGCATTGGTCCTGAAGCAAAATATAAGTTATAAGTTTTCAACTGGAACATTTTGAAGCTTGCAAATAAGTCTATAAATACTCACATGCAGTGCTCTCACTTTTATGGAAGGACACAGCTCTAAATGCAAAAAGGTACTCTTTCTCAAAAAGCATCTATGAAAATAGCATATTTTTCATTCATGGTTGAATTCTTTTCATGTCATCAAACCTATCTGCATTTGAGCTCTTTTTACCACTCTTAAACTACTACCGTGAAAGGAAGTATTTCTCCATCATTTAGCTATTTATCTCTATAATACTCAAGAGTGAAATTTTAAAAAATGGATAACATTACTCTTCCTGCTAACAACTGGCAGATATCCAGGGAAATGGTATATAGAATGAAATGAGCCTGTATAGAAAAAATGGACTTTTCTTGTTTTTAATATTTTTCTTATTCTGTGCTATCTGTCAAATTAATTCTCTCTCTCTCCCTTTCTCTCTCTCTGTTGCTTGACTTTCTGAAGTGGAAGAAAAGTTAAGATTTTTAAGCAATTGTACTTCCTCTCACAGAGCCTGACAGGACACGATTGAGCACCTGCTCCCTTAGGTCTTGGGATCTCAGTATTAAACAGCTATTTCTTATGGACTAGGGAGAGGAGAAAAGAAAAAATGGAAATATGCATTATAAAATGTCAACATTGCAGGTGTAGCAGCTTGCACTTTAAAATAGCTTTTCTTCAAGATTCAAAATGAAACAAAGCTCTAGTTTATGTCAACACATACTTGGCTTGAACTTATAAATGAATATGTTGTTGTCAAGTGCCATTGAGTTGGTTCTGACTCATAGTGACCCTGCACAGGGTTTCCAAGGAGCAGCTGGTGGATTCGAACCACTGACTTTTCAGTTATCAGTCCACTGCTAATCCTACAGCGCCACCCCAAGGACCCCATAAGCTAGTCAAAATGAAGTATGAGAGTAAGTAAATAAGTTGTTGTTGTTGTTAACTGTCACGGAGTAATTTCCAACTCATAGCAACCATGTATAGGGTTTCTGAGGAGCAGCTGGTAGGTTTGAACCTCTGATCTTGTGATTAACAGTCTAGGGCTTATCCTAATACCAAGACTTTAAGCCAAAAGGATTGCTACAAAACCTTTATTAGACAAAAATATAAAAATATGAAGCGATTTTTCTTTAGATATAGCCTCTCTCTATATGTCGACAGTCCTGAAGGTGGCATTAATGCCGTCTCTCTGACCTGTACCCAGAGAATTCTGTGCTCTTTGATTGATACCATGTCAAAACAGTTTTGGCATCCTTGATGGACTAAAATCACATTGCTTTTAAATGTCATTTGAGTTTTGTGAATAAAAAGAAATATGAAAGGGCAAAATCAGGGTTGTAGTATGGATGGGGTAAGTTTTCCCAATAAAATTCTTTTTTTTTCATTGCTGATGTCAGATGGATTTTTTTTTTTTTTTTAAAGGTTATTATTGTGGATTGAGTGAAAGTTTACAGGGCAGATCATCAGTTTTCCATTCAACAAATCACACACCTTGTTTCATTACAATGATTATAATCCCCTCCATGTAACATCAGTTAACAGTATTTCTCTCTTTCACTTTAGCATGTATAATAATTTACACCACCAAAGGGCACCTTCTGAAAGTCTGCCTCCTGGCCACCAGCTCTTAGTCCCTCTCTTCCCCTGAATCTAGAGTCCTCAGCTGCTCCCTCTCTCCACGTCCACATCTCTGGTATAAGGTCTCTGGATAAGGTCTCGCATTCCGCTTGTGCTCTTCTCTGTTGATGGTCCTATGGTCCTTTGTTGTTGGACTATAAGATTAACTACTCCCTTGTTTTTGCCACAAAACTTCTACATTTACAACTGTGACAGTCACAATTAGACATGATAACAATTACTCACTATTGAATAAGAATCTTATCCCCATCTTTCAACTAGACCCATCTAGACAAGATGAAAACTATTCAATGGGGACTCTTTCTTCCCCTGCCCCACACTATTAAACTAACCTCCCCCCCCCCACTTGAAACCTTGTAAGCCAGTCTCTTCGAGCCTTTATTGCCCCCTCATTTTAGGTAGCTAATGTCTAAGTTGCCCATCCCTATCTGCCCTGTGTACAGAGGGGATAGCATTGATACTTGATGTGAAGACTCTTTCCCTCTCTGTTGGTAGTTAGAGTTACTACCTCCATGAGTATAGATCAAGTTCATCAAACTGTAGCAATTCACCCATATTACCTTTATCAAAAATTGTTTTGTGTGCCTCCTCTCACTTCATATCAGTTAGATGCTTCACTCTCAGCTCTAGCCCTCTGTGGCTATGCCCTTGTCCATGGGCTTAGGTGTCCCCAGGTCTCACCACACTTTGGACCAACCAGCCCTTCCTCTTCTCTCTCTCATCTCCAGGTCAACGGGAGTCTATGGAATGTAGTTGAACTCAGGCCTCCCAACAAAATTCTTATAAGACAGCCCTTGGTATTCTTAAAGAATGAGCAAGTACATGGTTGATAGGGAGGGGAGGGGCAAAAAATCCCCGACATAACCTTCTTGACCATTTTTTTTTTTTTTCATATATGTGGCTTCCAATTTTCTTAACCCTTCTTCAGAATATGCCCCTGTGATTCTCCTATGTTATTCAAGACAATCTACCAGTATTGTTGTTGTTAAGTGCCATGGAGTCAGTATGGGGTCTCTGCATCTTTAAATCTTTTGCAGAAGCAGCAAGTGTCATCTTTTCCCCACAGAGAAGCTGATGGGTTTGAACCAGGTATCTTGTGGTTCACAATCCAGTCCTATGAAGCCACCGTGCTCCCTCTAACAATATTACTCCTTTGGAATACCAAACAGTCTCCACAACCATCTGAAATGACCTCTCTGCTTTGAATTTAAGTGGCTCAGCTCTAGACCTTTTCTTGAAGGCACCCTAAGGAGACTTGGTATTAGGCGCCATAGAATCAGTTCTGACTCAAAGAGTCCCTATGGTACAACAGGACAAAGCACTGCCCAGTTCTGAGACAGGCTCACAATCATTGCTATGTTTGAGCACATTGTTGCATCTATTGAAGATCTTCCTCTTTTTCACTGACCCTCTACTTTACCAAGCATGATGTCCTTCTCGAGAGTCTGGTACCTCCAAAGGACATGTCCAGAGTACATGAGATTAAGTCTCACCATCCTTACTTCTAAGTAACATTCTGACTGTACTACTTACAATAGACTTTTGTTCATTCTTCTGGCAGTCCATGGTATATTTAATATTCTTCACCAACACCGTAATTCAAATTTGTCAATTGTTCTTTGGTCTTCCTTATTTAATATCCAGTTTTTATAGGTATATGAGGCAACTGAAAATACTATGGCTTGGGTCAGGTGCACCTTGGTCTTCAAAGTACATCTTTGCTTTTTAACAGTTTAAAGAGATCTTTTGCAACATACATGCTAGTGAAACTAAGATTAGTGTATTGCTTAAAAGACCTGTCTACAGCCATCCACTTATTGCAGATATGCTTAAACAAGTTTTGTTTGGAGTAAACCCATACATGTTATGAACTGGAATCTTATTAATAAATAGTTTTGCCTTACCCTCATAAGTGACAGAAATACAACTTCAGATAAATGATATATGAGCAATAATACAAAAAGTTCAGGGCACATGCTGGGACCAGAAACTAACTGTACTGTAAACTCCTGACATTATAGATTCTTGGACTTGGAGCTCAAATTCTTGAATTTGAGGTTTTCCTCTGTCTATAAATGACTGTGTTAATTTGGGGCTGAGTGTGAGTTGGGGCAATCTACTTAGCCATGTGAGTTTAGTTTTTCATCTTACTTCATGTGTCTATTAATTACCATAACAGATCTCAGGATGATTTTGAAGAATCATTGAGTTAATGAACATACCAGGCATTTATAAATAATAAAGCATTAGAGTGAAAAGCAAGGTACATTTAAAGATATTGATAAAATAAATATCTTTTGTCCCTGTGCTGGGTGTTAAACAATTTGGGCACACCTGAGAGACACTTTCAACTTCCTCCCATTCCTCTCGACCCATTATTGATTAGATTCTTCCTCATTATCAAGGAGTCCTTGGGTAATGCAAACAATTTAACATGCTCAGTTATTAACTGCAAAGTTGGAGGTTTGAATCTACCCTTAGATGTTTTACAAGAAAAAGACCTGGTAATCTACTTCTGAAAAATCTGCCACTGAAAATGCTACGTAAATAACACAAAAGAGAAAGGAAAAGAGCACTGCCACACTAGAATCAACTGCAATCATAATAACAACATAGGAGAAATGGGACTCCAATACATTTGAACACCTAGAATAAACAAATTTCTAGAACTACATCACCTACTTAAATACAGACTCAAGTAGGACATTTGAATGTAACCAAAAGAAGAAACTGAGTAAGCCATAAAAAACAAAACAAAACTCCCAACAACAACAACAGAGCATCCTGGGCTAGATGGATTAATGGGAAATTATATCAAATAGTCAGAGAAAAGCTGACACCAATTCGACTCAGACTATTCTCGGATATATAAAGAGAGTGAATGCTCCCAAGTTCATTTCATGAAGCAAGTATAACCCCAATATCAAAGTCAGGCAAAGACAACACTGAGCATAGATACAAAACCTGACAAAATCCTAGCCAATAGAAGATAACATCATATCAAAACAACAACATAGCATGACCAAGTGGGATCCATAGTAGGCATGCAAGGATGGTTCAACATTAGAAATATAATCAGTGTAGTCTACCATATAAATGAAACAAAGAGAATGAACCATGTGCTCATATCAACCGACCCTGAAAAGGGATAAAGCTCAGAAGGCAGGAATGCAGTAGGAGAAAGGACAAATGGAATCAGTAAACACCGGAAGCAAGTGGGAAGAGTGCTGTTACATAATTGGCATTTCAGTCAATGTCATGAAACAAAATAAGTATGAATTGTTGAATAGAAACCAATTTGTTCTGTAAACCTTTCACTTAAAAAAT